AGGCTGGGGAATTCTGGGCGTTGAAATCCACTCATCTTAAAGTTGCCAAGGTTGAGAAACATTGGGCTAAGCACACCTGTATCCACTCCACAGCCTTGCTGTTCATTGTCATCCTTTGAGTAAAGAGCAATGAATGAATGATGGGACCCTCGATTTTGCAAGTCAATTACCCTGTTATTTAAATGAGCTATGTGTCCCATTAGAAGACAATTAACAATTAGATATATGGCTTTCACTCTTATTATTTCTCACTATTTCCTGCCACCATCACTATCCTGAATTTCAACTATAGTTAGAATAGTTATGAACCAGTTCAGTTATGGACTTGAATAATGAGTGTGTTAATTCTGAAATGACCAGGATGGGGAGAAGGGCATTGGCCTTCCAGGGCCAAAAGAATGGCTATCTAGGGGTCATCTGTGGGGGTCTGTAGTCAAAAAAGTCTAGATGATGACTGCAGCCAAGTGATCGAAGTCTTGCCCCTTTTCTTCATGCCTCGCATATTGTTGCATGTGGTCCCATAGATCTCTTTCCATGTTCCATTTACACTAGAAGATCATAGATGACAATTACCCATTTTTAAATGTTGTCCTGGGCTTCTTAAAGGATTTTTAACCCACCTCTCCCCAGCCTATCAGGGAAACCACACCAACTGATGAGATTATTTGTCAATGAGCAAAAGAAGAACGTAAGAAGAGGCCACCTTTCTCAAACCAAGACTGTCTTTCTGGTATCATCATCTCTAAGGTTTTTGTGAGGGATCAGAGCAGAAGAGGCTATTTTGCTCATGTCTTGGATGGCCACCAGGGAATGGTTTGAATCATAAACATGCATTCCTCACACACCAGAGGAATCTCTCTCAATTCAACTCAAAGGCTGATGAAATAATAATAATAATAATAATAATAATAATAATAATAATAATAATAATGGAATTTTGCCCTGCATTAGAACAAGCATTACATCAAAGATATGTGAGGTCCTTATTCGCCCCTATTCTGCCCTGGTGAGACCACACCTGGAATACTTTTATGCTCCCAGGCACATTTCCAGAAAGTTATTGACAGATTAGGACAGATTTGGAGGAGGGCAACCAAGATGATCCACAGACTTGTTGAGGACATGTCCTTTGAGGACAGGGTGAAGGAACTTGAGATGTTCAGTTCCAACACGGAGTCTTGTAAGATATCTTCAGGTATATAAAGGGAAGCTATAAAGAAGATGGTCAAAAACCATTGTCCATTGCTACAGAAACTAGGACCAGAAATAAGAAGTGTATGTTGCAGCTCCTCAAATATAAGGAAAAACATCTTGAAGGTAAGATCTGTAGAACAGTGGAACAGTCTATCTGTGAAGGCTGTGGGTTCTCTGTCTCTGGAGATTTTCATGAAGAGACTTGACAGTGCTCTTTTGAGAAAGTTGTAACTGGTTTTCCTGCACATTGCAAAAGATTGGACTAGGTGAGCTTCATGGTCCCTCCCAACTCCACAATTCTGGAATTCTAAGATTCTTGTCTCAAGAACTGCAACCTTTCTGTTCATTTCCCATCAGCGACCTTCAGCATCTTCATAGCATCACCCAGCCAGCACTGCAGTAATATAAAGTCTGTAATTGTAATTTTGACAGAAGGGCAGTTGGAGAACTCTAGAAAATGCTATCAGTCACTAGTGGGGAAATGACCTAGAGATTAGCTATTGCCAACTTTTTCAACCTGGTATCCATACGATACTGTGACTCTCAATGTTTCCAGCCAACATGTGTGAACTCTAATCCAAAAAATCTGTCAGTCACCAGTTTGAGAAAAACAGGGCTACCTTCAAAAGCCATTGGCTATGTTCATGCTAAACCAGCCTTGGTGTCATCATGGCTAATTGAAGAAACCCGGATTGGCCAGGTTTACACAACATGCTGAACACGAATAAGGTATTATTTACAAAGCATGGTGGCTGGGTTTGTCCAATATGCAGTGCTATAAAATGTGCTGTTTTTCAGTAAATCAAAAGAATGCAGCCTATAAAGCGTGCATTATTTTAAAAAAAAAAACCTTACAGACATTCATTTGCAGAAACTCCATCGCCACTAAGCCACAAGAGAAAGCTGATTAGAGACCCAGCTTTTAAACAAAACAGCCTTGCACTGGAAAGTATCTGGGATTAAGAAGAATGGCACACAGACACACCCCAACCCTGCTCATGTCTTCTCTTTTTTCTTGAGTCTGTTGCTGTCAGCTGCTCCTGCAACAGAAGCAGGTTGTGGGCTGGGTGGAATGAGATTTCTCTGGCCTCTGAACATCAGGATCATCCGTTGTGGAGGAACTGCAGACCTCTCCTGTCCCAGAGCTGGCTTCCAGCCAGGCCATTTTCAGTTGCAAGAAATCCAAATGGCTCCTGGGTCTTCAAGTAACAGCAAGCTGGCTGGGTGCCCTGCTCCACCCCTGTCCGCAGAGAACGTTGCTTGCAGGGACTGTCTGCCCAGAGAAGCTGAGGACACTGCAAAGAGGAGTGTGTGTGTGTGTGTGTGTGGTGTGTGTCTTTTAATCTCTCTCCCTCGCTCTCTCCTGCTGAAAGATTCTTTTTCTGTTTGTCTGACTCAAAGCTCAAACTGCCATTCCCCGGATCTGCTTGAAACACCGGACGTCCCTTGGAGCTTCTTGGCTGTCAAACGTTGTGGGTAAGAGAGGGCGAACTTTGCCCGCCCAGAGGGGGAAGGGGGTTGTGATATGGGGCTCAGGGAAAGGACAGGCTCACCTCTGCAGTGGGGGGGGGGTGCTTTGAAGCTTAACTTTCCATCGACTGAGTTTATGGCAGCACACAGCACCTTGGTGTTTGTATTCCTTAAACAAACAAGTGGGTTGGGGCCTCAGTCTTCACAGGCTGGCTAGAGGCTGTTTCACCCACTACAGTGTACAGGCTGAAGTTTGGCTTGGCAAGCATGGGCACACTGATGGGGTGGGGACTCCAGTCTGTCTTTTAGTCCTCTCTTCTACCAGGCCAAAGGACCTTTCTGTGTCATCCATCACAAAAGGTCACCAAGGCAAAGTGGTGTTTCCAGGTCTAGGGTAATGTCCTTTGTCGTGGAAGATGAGTTGGCAGAAGCAAGAAGAACCTCTGTGACTCAGCATTTAGACCATGCCCCCATCTTGGGACTAACTATGAACTGCATCGCTCAGAGCTGAACCATCTGGCCTAATTTTTAGTCTTTTCTTGATTCTTTTCCCTCCCTGATTTTGTTTTAACGTCTTGAAGAGTTCTGGGAGACTCTAAGGCATGCGCCCAATTTAGGATCATTTGGGTGGGTCCTAATGGATTTTGAATTCTTATTTTTTCCTCCCAAGGACCAACCAATAGACCATGTTACTGCTGCTTGGTGTGCGTGCCTTCGAGTCGGTGTTGGCTCCTGGCAACTGCCTAGACAAGTCCCTGCAGTTTTCTTAGCAAGGTTTTTCAGAAATGGTTTGCCCTGGCCTGCTTCTTCCTAGGGCTGAGAGAGAGGGACTGGCCCAAGGTCACCGAGCTGGCTTTGTGCCTAAGGTGGGACTAGAACTCACCGTCTCCTGGTTTCTAGCCTGCTGCCTTAACCACTACGCTCTCCAGTTGCTTTATGTGACTATTATATGTACAAAGAAGGATGAGCTGGCCTAACAGAAGATACCACACCCTAAACCCAAATCAACAAAACTTAGTTTCTGGGCTTGTGCAACAGATGTTATCCAAATAAATAAACTGTTTTATGGTTTAACACAATGGCCTGATTCACACACCATGCAAAGACGGTGGCTGGGGTCCCAAAATGTCCTTACCTGCACGTGACTCACACCACTTCTAGCCTTGTGCATACCTATCTGGGGTACAGCAAGGTGGACAATATGCCCCAGATCATAAGCTGCAAACAGTATCATTTATTTATGCTTACTTCTGTCCTTTGGAAGTAGAAGTCGATGCAGAGAATGAACAGCTGGTTCTCTTCTTAGTTTGTCTGCACATCAGCAACAGCCCAGTGAGGTTGGTTGAAGGCTAAGAGGGAGGGACCCCCTTGAATCACTCTAGGAGCTCCATTACTGAAGGGCCGAGCTTCTTGCATGTATCCAGCCAGTTGTGCTTGACTTAGTAAACCCTGGTTAAGTCAACCATGTACCCTCTGTCACCATTGCTGGACCCAGCTTAATACAAAAGGCTATTGTCCTTGTAAGGGTAAAATGAGATTGCAGATAAAGAAGTCAATCCTTCCTCTTAATAATCACATGAGACAGCAATTCCTCATTTTTGGTTGCCTTTTCTAGATGCATTGAATTACAACTCCCATAATTCCCAGCTAGCACGTTCCAATAATTCCACTGTTTGCAATGTGAGTGCAGGCTCCTTCTCCTAGATCTATGGATTTCAGGTCCCTCAACCTTCAGCAATGGCCATGGTGGGTCAAGAACTCAAGGGAGCTGCAGTCCCCACATTTGGGTGATGGTAGTCCTCCATACCAGCTCATTACCGCCACTGTAGACTGAATGGTTTCAAAACAAACTGCCCTAATTCTGGATTTCTGGCCAGAGGGAAGGTGTGGGGCACTTATACAGGCTGGCACCCATCAAAGGAAAGAACCAAGCAGACTGTAATGGTGAGAAGTATGAACAAGCAGAACCAGCTTTTTATGCCATTCCTGTCAAGACAGACAGGTGTGAGTGTGGTTGTGCCAGGTAAATAATTGTTGAGCAATTTAAAATATACTTGGATGTAACCTGAGTGTTAGTTGTCTGGGCAGAGCTATTCAGAAGCCTAAATTCCTATAAAACAACCTTGCCTCGTGTTGGGTTTCAACTATTGAATATTATAGACATTCCCAAAGACACAAGAAGTTTTTTTTAAAAAAATCACTGCAATCTTCAGGTTTCAAGGACAGCAGCTAGTTGACCTTGGATGAACTCAAAAAATGAAGTGGACTCAAGAATGATTGGATGGGAGACCACCAGAAATTTTTCCAGGACTCTAGGCTAGACTGGGAAAGTTGAAAAAAACATCCCCGAAAAAAGCAAACACTGTATTTTTTGTGGCCAAGAAAAATGCCAAGACTTATCCGTGGAGTAGCCAAGATCTCACCCTGAATAGAATGAGGCTTTCCTTAATCTCAGACTCTAGGGAGAAAAAGTGAATGGACAATATGGCTGATCTTAAAGCCCGTTTGCAGAGTTAAATCAACAACAGAGGCCTTTCAGACATGAAAATTGGGTTGTATCAGTACAAAGCAGTTGGGTTGGAATCAGGGTTCTACTAGAGTTTTTGGAAAAGAAGATGTTTATACATTTTCCATGTCTGAAAATATAAATTGCATCTCATCAGGTCAAAACGGCATCACCTAGAATGTATGTATTCCAAAAAGGAATCTGGGTTCAGAACTTGTAAAAAGCCACAATATGCTTTGACTTAATGACTGAGTTCACACAACATCCTTACCTCTAGACTGAGTCTACAAAACACAAGAGAAAAACTTACACAACTTTCCTCCTGCAACAAAAAGGTCTTACGTTACTTAATTGATTCACCAAATTAATTAACTAACCAAAGGGCCTGGGTTCAAGTCAACAACTAAGCCACACACACACAAATCAAACCAAGGTTGAGACTAACTTTGCAGACTCTGCAGGTTGTAAGAATGCATCTGTGAGGGTTGTCACTAATATGGTGAAACATAGGATGAAGATATCCAGTTCAGCTTTGTAATTTGGAGGTAAAGGACCCTATATCCAAGGAGATCCAGTTTGGTTCTCCCAGGTTCTCCACATGCACCTTTGGTCCACAAATCTTGCATTCCACCTATCACAAGAACCTGGAAGGAACTCAACTCTCAAAAACCTTTCCTTGAGCAAAACTAGGACGCTCTTGTTCCTGTTTTCAAAGGCAAGGATCATGGTTACGTTTGTTGATTCTATGGTTGCCCTGTTATTATTAAGAAGGAAAAACAGGGTGTTTTTCTTTGAAAGATGCCATGAGACTCGTTGTTGTATTTGGCCTTCCGAAGGTCACGGATAGTTCAAACTGAATTTTGCTACCTCCTGCATAGGAAATAGATTATTGAAAGCTGGCTGATCTTATATAATGCAGTTAGAGGAAAGACAGGAAGGAGAAAAGAATAAACAGATGATCTTTTACTTTTTATTACAGAGGGTAATGATTAATTTTTTTTTCATCCCTTCAAGTCAGCGTTGACTCCTGGCAACCACCCGGACCAGTCCCTGCAGTTTTCTTGGCAAGATTTTCAGAAGGGGTTTGCCCTGGCCTTCTTCTTCCTAGGGCTCAGCGAGAGGGACTGGCCCAAGGTCCCCCAGCTGGCTTTGTGCCTAAGGCAGAACTAAAACTCATGCTGTCCTGGTTTCTAGCCTGGTGCCTTAACCACTACACCAAACTGGCTCTCACCAATGATTAAATAATGTCATACAAATAATAAGAACATTATGGAGAGTTCTGGAGTTTTCTGTTTCTTTCTGGACCATGTTAATCCAGTTGGTCCAGTGGTTTTCCAGCAATAGTTGGAGCACTTCTGATAGGCCCAACACACACACACACACACACACACACACACATTTCACAATAAGTTAGTCAATTCTCCTTTGAGTTAAGCTTGTGTCTTCATGGCTGCAATTCAGATCCTTAGCTCAGGTGGGAAAATTTTGCTGTGAGGACAAGGGTGGGCAAACCTTTGCTGACCAAGGAGGCTTCAAACATAGGATCAGGAGAGAAGATTGCAAACTTAGGCGCCGTCCCATTTCTTCGGGTTTTCACCGGCTGAATCTGGTGAAAAAGTTTGGAAGAGATTCTTTGCAATATGCCCATTTCTTTATGGAACCAACCATGTCTGAGCCGAACTCAGTGGAGACTTGACTTTAAAAAAAAACATGTAATGGGTGTTTGTTAAGAGCATTAATTGATTTCTGCTATGCCAGGGGTCCACTGTGAATTGTTAAAATGTAAATCGAAAGAAGATACTGTTTGCAGATTGGAGCAGTCAGAAACCAGATGTAATCCTCATGTTTACACCAATTGTTTAGGAAGGTTTGAGAAGGTTCATTATTCCAAAAACCCTGTCTCAGCTCTGTATCCTGCCCCTCCCAATTCAAACAGGACGTTCACTCCAAGGGTTTTTCCTTTCCCAAATGTTGACTTGACTTCTGAAAACGCACCTCTTTGGTAATTCCAGGAGTACATCTCATTGCCGCTCCGTGTGACATCTGTGCAAACAAACACTTGGCCTCAGTGTTCCAGGACACTTATGGCTATGCACACTTTGGGATGTGAGAAAAGGAGAGCAAAGGGCCTTCTGTGCTTTGTGTTATCACCAACATTGAGAGCCTCTATAGGGGATCAGCAGGGGGAACTTTATAAAGTCAAGGTGGCCGCCACAACCGTGGCATTTTTATTTAGTATTACATTTATGTGCTGCCCATCTCCCCCAGAGGGTGACTGGGGATCAAAGTCCTACCCCTTTTATAAGTCTCTATCTTGATTTTTCTGACCCCTCTCCCTGCAGACATTCGTGCCTACAATTTATCTTGGCGGATCAGTAGGGTAGCTGGTTTCATTGATCCTTTCACCTTCATCTGGGAACAAGTCCCCATTTCTGAAGTGGCTTTTCTAAAAATTCAGAACATGGATCCATCTAAGATCAGATTTCTCAGTCTGGGCAGA